CATTAAATGCCCTTTCTGTTGATTATATGCTTCCTGGTTCTTAACTTACTTTTCTCTTTCGCTCGAACTTCATGTCTCTGATTATTCGACGCAGTTTGAGTTTTGAAACATCTGTGTAAATGAGGTCTGTATAAAATCACAGCCCTATGTCTTGGACATAATCTATGACATCTCAGATTCTTCTTGCTTTCAGCTCTGTTTATCAGATCTTCCTAAACTTTCCTTCTCCTCAATTTCTGTTTCTTAATTCTACCAATGCACAAAATACAGTATTTATCGCTCTCATTGTTAAATTTTTTTTCCACAAGGTCTCGGTTTTCTCTCGCAGAGATAGTCTCACACTATCAACAATTGATAATATTTTTGTTCCTCTGAATTCCTTGATATCACGACTTGCAGCTTTTGCATCTATCTCAAATTTACTTGTTTCTTTTTTCGTCTCTACAAACATCATTATATTTACCTTACATAGTCTCTTTGTTCTTCGCCCATCAGTGGTTATCTCAAAAATTTTGACAATGAGAGCAAAAATATTATGTTTTGTGCTTTGGTTGAATTGACGCTGGCATGAGAAAAAACGGGCTAGTGCAACAGAAGAACTAAATATGAGCCACTCAGATGAATGCAAGTCGCATACAAAGGCATAACAAGACCGGTCTTGTCATCTGTCTTTGTATGCGACTTGAATATCTCTGAGTGGCTCATATACAATTTTTCTGTTGCACTAGCCCGTTTTTTCTCATGCCAAGGTCATATCCAGCTTTTATTTTAATTCTTCTGTTGTATAAACTCCAGTGATTATCAATAGAGTTCCAAACGTCCACAATCTGTCTAAACATTTTTTTGTTGTTTTATCTTTATTTGTTGCTTCAGCGGATGTAGGGGCGGTAAGGGGTTCGGAAACCATCCCTCAGGAGTTGGACACCCTGCCGACCCAAAGGGTCCCCCTTTGTACTAATTTGATATATCCACTTTAGGCTAATTGACCCATAAATTTTTTCTAAAGGGTTTAATAACTTTGAGGGTTAAGCGCGCGCAGAAAAAAACGCGCAAAAAAGTTTTTCAAATAAGGCCAAAACACCTTTTATTGGGCTTTTTTTAAAAAAAATTTGCCTGCTGCGCAGAAATTTTCATCAACATAGGGCTTCCCAGTGTTTATAAAATCAAATTGGTCGACCTAAAAAAGTTGACAAAATGTGCTTCCTTCGATTCCTTCGAGAAAACCCTATTTGGTGTTTTTTTGAGAGTTCTTAGTACCATAATTTTGGCAATACAAATTTGGCAAAACAAACAATCCCAAAAAAGTTCTCATACCAAACGATGCTAGTATGCAGGCCAGAATACATCTGTTTTGGTTCTAAACCCAATCTTTACTTCTGCTGCGAATGACGAAGCTCGTTTTTATTTCAATTTTTTAACAAAATAGCTTTAAATCAATTATTTATTTGAATTCCTAAAACGCCCTTTTCGCCTGTTTTTTCAAAGTTTTGACCAGAAGTTTCGCGCAGAAATTTTAGTCAAAACAGCGTCTTTTTAGTGCTTTGGGATATTTTGAAAATCCGCTTCTCTCTTTTGAAATTTCTAGATCCGAGATTTAATTTAATTTATTTAATTTAATTAATTTCTAGAGCCCTGATTTGTTGGGCTCTATGATTTGTAGTCTGTGAACTTTATACGGTAGATACAGTGACCGAAGTGCACAACCACTGCACTTAATGGCACCAACTGGTATGTGAAGTTGTTGCATATGGCGTGTAAAGTAGTGGAATCAATGAAAAGTCTGCTTTCAGAAATAAAGCACACTGTTAGTTTACGCAAAAATTGTATCCGCGATATTCAAAGATCACTAACCAATCATCGCTGTGTTGTTGAAAGCAAAAGACTTTCGATTTTCATTTCGAATAATAACCTATAAATCTACCGGCCGAGCGAACAACTGTGTGTTAGGATCCTCGCTAGTATTTGGAGTATTCCTGAAGAATACAATGACTATTTCATGCCCACGCGGAGCAATCTTCACAATGTGCAGCGACCTTGTTCTGAGAGATATTGGGAACTCGGGTGCAAAAAAAAAACAAAATGGTCATGAGAGGAACCAAAAAGCTCTTCAATTGAGAAAATTGACAATTAATGGGACCAGTAGAAACGGCAGATCAAATGTATTATCTGATTCGTTGTTTGAAACTTAGTTAGGTTGGATTAATGGAACTAACTAGCAGATGGGATAATTACATCACTATCGAAGAACTAAACGGCTAATCGAGATTTAGCAAGGGAACTGGAAGTCCCTTGCTACAATCACAGAAGATTCAGATACCGCCATCACATGAGCACTGATGGCATCCATCCAGATGCAAAGCACGTCAGAGAACAGGTAGCAACTTTTCGAAAAGCTTTTAATAAGCTGAAAAGAAAATCAATGACTATCAGATGAAATCAGGCCCAGATCAGGGCTGAATTTTAAATTTTTATTTTTTTTTGGAAGTGAACCACAGGCCTAGCTCTAGGCTGAAGGCTCTCGGCAATAGAATCATACAAGCCTAGATCCAGGCCTAGGATATAACAATGTGGCTATTGCAGACTTAGCCCAAGGTCGAAGATTATCCAGTAGACGTCTAAAATAGGCCTAGCTTAGGGCCGAGACTCGCCAGACACATAGAGATAACAAGCCTAGTTCAAAGCCGAAGACATTTCTCCTCACCTCTGAGTTCTAAAAAGGGGCGACAAAATCAAAGTTTGATGATGATGATGATGAGGTTGTTCGACCTTTTTGTTTCGATTTTCGATCAATTCGAATTATCTGATCTTGAGTGGTATCTGAAAGGTACTTATGACCTGAGCTTAAGTTTAAAAAGATTTTTATCATTTGTTTGATTTTTTTTTGTAAAGTTATGGGTGAGAGTTTGAAATAAGCCATTTTGACTAAGATGGGGCAGGGAACGCGTGATTTATTTGGTGCTACTCAAGCGTAAGTGAAGAAGTAAATCGTTCTGGGTTAAATTGAAAATTGTGACTAAGCAACTTGATTTTATTGATACAATACCAGACTCAAAACATGTCAATATGTACTTAAAAAAGCGTGAGGGGGATAAATTGAAAAAAAAAATCAAAATTTTTGCTTTTTTTTGCAATTATATATCAATTTTTGACAAAAAAGTTTTCCATGACTTTTAACGACAGTTGTGTTTCGCCTAGAGACGAGCGTTTTGTTTCTTTTTGTCTCATATTTTTTTTTCAAATCAAGCTTCCAGTTCCGACTTTCGCAACAAAAGTAACGGAGTATCTGAGCTCGTGGTGGGCTTTTTATATTTCAGACAAATTTCGACTTTTCAACTAGCCATTTTTGAGAGATTTTTTAAAAATATCATTAGAAAGGTATTGTTGTCCTGAGCTCTTAATCGAAAAGATAATTTACCGGAGATTATTTTTTGTAAAATTATGGGGGTTTAAATAATGTCATTTTTGCCGATTTGGAAAAATTAACGCGCGATTTTTCGCGCTTTTAACGCGTGAGCGGGTATTTACTCCGTTTTAAAAACGGCCGATATTGGTTGAAGGAAGCTTGTTTGCCATAATTGATTTCCTACTAGGAGCGAAATCAATCGCTTTGTACTTGATATGGAGTCTGGGAGATCTTTTCACAAATACTCTAAAAAAGTTTTAAAGTTTCCCCACATTTTTTTATTACATTTAAATTTTTCATGTTTTTAATGCTCCATAGACCTCAAAAGGCAGTCGGAACATTGTTTGTCTTGTCTTGTTTAGACTTGTCTCGTTTTACATTTTCAGTGATTGAGGATATAAACTGACAAGAGTGCTCCTATCGGGCCGAAGCGCCGAATGCTCCGACTCCCTTCTAATGTCTCTTCGCCTTAAGTAATTGATGAAATTTCCAAAGGAAATAAAGAATTTCTGATATTTTTGGAGACTTTTTTTGAAAAGCATCCCACCACACGCTGCGCAAAATACAAAGTGACATGTTGCGCATATAACAAGGTATTTAGACAGAAAAGTATGCCGCAGCTCAATTTGGAACAAATTCAAGACAGATGAAATCTCCGCTTAAGCGCCCGCACTGGAGTTTCATCGATACTAATTGACTATGATGGACTTTTAGTAACAAAAATATTGGACAATTTAATCGACTTCTTCTACTGTAATCGATTATTTCTCATCATAAATCCATAGATATCGATTTTTATCTCCGCAAAAATCCATTATAATCGATTGCGAAAAAGTTGAAAACAATTCACCCCTTTTCAAGTTTTTAACCAATGAACGGGGGGTACTTCTTCACCCCAATTTTAAATACTCACCCTTATATTGGGGGGGGGGGGTTTAAAATGGGGGCGGTGAAGTAAACTGGAGAGGGGGTTTTAGAAGAAGCGGTGGAGTTTAAGTTGAGTCATTCCCCAACCCCTCACAGTTGTTTGACCATTGAAAACTTAATCTTACTGAAACGTGAGGGGGTGATAATAATTGGGCAAATGGCAATCGTTTCTTTTTTTTTCCATGGCCATGGAAAAAAAAACAATTAAATATGTCTACGACATTTGAACTTGATTCTTTGCCGAACCTAATTTTGCCACATTTTTGACATGATTATGCCGCCAAATTAGTAAATTGAAAGACTCAAAAACTCAAAAATCAAAAGAAATCATTTAAAAGCAACAACTAAACTACGATTTGAAATTGGAATCTGAATCACCCAAAAGTATTGCCATTGTCAAAATATAAATGAAACTGCCAAAAAGAAAAGGTAGAGAACATTTTTTCAAAAACGAAATATTATGAGAAAAGTAAAAGTTTATGTACTTTTTAAGCTCTGCACTAAACAGAAAATGAAATAATTTTGACAAAAATTTGACTGGACAGTTTTGGCGTATTTTTCGGTTGACCAAAATAAGAACAAAATCGATTCATTATTGGCGTTAAGTTTTGTGTCTGAGTTTTGCAAACTAAATTGCACCCTATTAATTCTGTTGAAATTCTTATCAAATTGTATCGTTATCGTTTTTCACGTAAAATCAACCCAAATTTTGATTTTAATGCGTTGTGTCCGGGTAATTTAAATCAGCACAGTATTGCTTCAAAGTGGTTTGATGTCGAACAAAATTCTGGGCTAAAGACTTTTTGACGTTTTACATGACAATATCAAAACTTTTAAATGGTATTCAGCAAGCACAACTTTTCGATTACAAAATTATGCATCTCCTTTTCCTTTTCTTTTTCGAAGCTATCGCCACTACATTGGCATCGATGGCTGCGAGGGCCGCTTTCTCAAACACCCTTTTCACATCTTCCCTTCCCATGTCGTCTTTGGCCGAACACTCGTGGTACCATGTGGTCCCTATCTTCTGCGCCAAATTGCTTGTCTCGAAGGAGGCGATAGTGCCATTGGGGTTCTCTTTGCGTTTGTCAATCTAAAACAAATACAACAAGACTGCTCTTATCAGGGCGAAGCCCTGAATGTTCCGACTGCCTTTTAAGTTTATGGAGCAGTAATAACATTAAAAAAATTAAATGACATAAATCGATGAATTTTTTTCTCTAAAATTAGAAACTTTTATGAAAATCATCACCCTACACGCCATTTAAACTACAAAAGGATAAATTTCGCTCCTTGTAACAAATCACATATGGCAAACAAGACTACTCGTATCAGGGCTAAGCCCTAAATGTTTCGACTGCCTTTTAAGATTTATGGAGCAGTAATAACGTTAAAAAATTAAATGAAATAAATCGAAATGAAAAATTTTTTTCCTAAAATTTGACATTTTTTATTAAAATAATCCCCCCATACGCCATATAAAACACAAAAAGTTAAACTTTGCCCCTTGTAACAAATCAATTATGACAAAAAAGCTTATTTCAACCAATTTGGAACGATTTCTAAGACGGATTAATTATCCGCTTATGCGTTAATAGCGCGAAATATATCGCGCATTAGTTGTCTCAAATTGACCAAAATGGCAATCTTTAAACCCCCATAACTTTACGAAAAATGATCACAGGTGAAATATCTTTTCAAATTTCAGCTCAGGACAGCATTATATTTCGAATGATATAAATTCCGTCAAAAATTCCGTCAAAAATGGCTAGTTAAAAAGTCAAAATTTGTCTGAAGAAAAAAAACCCACCCCAATCACATATATTCCGTTACTTTCGTATCGAAAGTCGGAACAATAAGCTTCTTTCAACCAATTTGGAACCATTTCTAATATGGATTAAATCTCCATTTAATCATTAATAGCGCGAAATATATTGCGCGTTAATTGTGCCAAATTGGCCAAAATCGCAATCTTTAAACCCCCGTAGTTTAACGAAAAATGATCACAGGTGAAATATCTTTTCAAATTTGAGCTCAGGAAAACAATACCTTTCGAGTTATTTTTTAAAATTCCGTCGAAAATGGCTAGTTAAAAAGTCAAAAATTTGTCTAAAAAAACACCCCGAGCACAAATATTCCGTTTCTTTCATATCGAAAGTCAAAACAATAAAATGAAATTAAAAGAAAGTTTTTATTTTAAAATTGAGAGCTTCTATGAAAACCATCTCCCCATACGCCTTATTAAGTACACAAAGTGAAAGATTTCATTGCTACCAACAAATCAGTTGTTGCAAATAAGCTTCCTTCAACCAATTTGGAACACAATTTGAATTTCCGCTCATACGTTAATAGCGCAAAATATCAATTCAATAGCGATCTTTAAATCACCATAATGTTATCAAAAAAGATTACAATTAAAATAGTAATTAAATAATTTCGTCAAAATGGATAGTTAAAAGTCGAAAAATGCTTGAAGAAAAAAACCACCCAAGCATAAATATTCCGTTATTTTCGTTACGGAAGAATAAAAAAACTGCTCGTATCAGGGCAAAGTCCTGAATGTTCCGACTGCCTTTTAAGGTTTATGAAGCAGTAATAACATTAAGAAATTCAATGAAATAAAACATAACGAAAATTTTTTTTCTTCTAAAACTTGAAATGTTTATGGAAATCATACACCCACACGCCATTTAAAATACAAAAGGTTAATTTTCTCCTTGTAAAAAATCACATTTGGCAAATGAGCTTCTTTCAACCAGGTTAGAACGATTTCTAATACGGATTAGTTCTCCACTGACGCGTTTATAGCGCGAAACATCGCGCGTTAATTGTCCCAAACTGGCCAAAATGGCAATCTTTAAACCCCCGTAATTCAAGAAAAAGCCACCCCAGCATAAATATTCCGTTATTTTTGTTACGGAACAATAACCTGACTGCTCGTATCAGGGCGAAGTCCTAAATGTTCCGACTGCCTTTTAAGGTTTATGGAGCAGTAATAACATTAAAAAATTTAATGAAATAAAAGAAAATGAAAAACTTTTTTTCTAAAATTTGAAATTGTTCATTCAAATCATCACCCCACACGCCATATAAAGTACAAAAGAATAAATTCTGCTCCCTGTAACAAATCCCTAATGGCATATAAGCTTCCTTGAACCAATTTGGAACAATTTTTAAGACGGGTTAAATCTCGCTTAAGCGTTAGTAGCGCGAATTATATCGCGCGTTAATTGTCCCAATTGTCAAAATGGCAATCTTTAAACCCTCATAACTTTACAAAAAATGATCACAGGTAAAATATCTTTTCAAATTTGAGCTCAGGACAACGATAACTTTCGAATGATAAAAAAAAATTCCGTCAAAAATGGCTAGTTAAAAAGCCGAAATTTGTCTGAAGAAAAAACCCACCCCGAGCACAAAACGGATATACTTAACACTTACCCCCCCCCCCCGGTATCTACTTAAGAATTGCCACCCGTATTTAAAAAAGCGGTAAATTAGGACTGAGCTTTCTCTTGAGAATTAGAACTTTGCTGCACCCTGAGCGGTCGAAAATGTGTTATCTTAACCTACTTAAAACAATTCCCTCCCCCCTTTCTTAAAAGGGGCAATTAATAAGTAGATCACACAAAACTGCGGCCCTTTTCAAGTTCCCCCCTTTTGATTTTTTCGGAAATTTAATACATGAAAACTTAATTAAAATGACTTTTCATGTTAAAAAGTGCATTAAAACGTGTCAGCGTAAACAGGTGAACAAATTTTCACAACATTTCTTACATGCAAAATGCCGTGTGAACAATTTTTCAACAGCTTTATTTTGAAAATTTACGAGGGGGTGGGAAACTGGAAAAGAGCCAAAACTGCAGTCCTGGATGTTTTTTATTGTCATTTTATTGTCTTGGATGTTTTTTATTGCGCTATCAAAGTAAAAACGTATTTGATTGTTTTGACAATCGAAGTGGAAGATGCTTATAGTTCCGTCTTTCGATACGAAAGTAACGGAATATTTGTGCTCGGGGTGGGTTTTTTTTTCTTCTGACAAATTTCGACTTTTTAACTAGCCATTTTTGACGGAATTTTTTTATATCATTCAAAAGGTATTGTTGTCCTGAGCTTAAATTTGAAAAGATATTTCACCTGTGATCATTTTTTGTAAAGTTATGAGGGTTTAAAGATTGCCATTTTGACCAATTTGGGACAATTAACGCGCGATATAATTCGCGCTATTAACGCGTAAGCGGAGATTTAATCCGTCTTATAAATCGTTCCAAATTGGTTGAACGAAGCTTATTTGCCATAATTGTTTGTTACTAGGAGCGAAATCTATTATATTTTACTTTATATGGCGTGTGGGGGGATGATTTTTATTAAAAAAATCAAATTTTAGAAGAAAAGAAATTTCATTTTATTTTATTTCATTTAATTTTTTAAATGTTATTACTGCTGCTCCATAAACCTTAAAGGCAGTCGGAACATTCAGGGCTGCGCCCTGATACGAGCAGTCTTGTAGTTTTTTATTCCGACCAATTTCTGAAAGAAAGTTGTAGCGTGGGGTTGAACCTTGAATTTACGTGTTCGCAAGCGGGTGTGCAACGCACTATCTTTTCCACTGAAGTAAAATACTGGCTTAATACTTTGAAGACTTTGTCTATCATTGAGAACACGAAGTCTTATCCCGCACACAAAAATGTTCTGAATTGAAATCATCCGAGCTAATTGGCTAATTGGTCATTTTAATGCTTTTTGTGGGGCAGTACAACTACGCCGAAGTACAACAGTGCCGAAAATGAAAATTTTGTTCAATAGTGCCGAAAATTTGAACAAATTTCAACATTTTAAGTGCGGCAATCAAAAATTAAACGGCGATCGCTTACAATCTTAGGAGACACTTTAAGATTTTGAGCGAGAAAACTTGCAGCTTACACGTTTTTTATCGCCAAAATAATTGTTTAATTTGCGGTCGAAGACATTTTGGCGCCAAACTTGGAGTGATTTTCTTTTTTAATTAGCGTCAGTAATTTTCCTCTTTTTAGAAAATGCGTTGAAATTATTCTGAAGTTTTCCCGCCTTTTTCGGCACTGTTGAACGCCTCCCTTTTTGCGATTCTAATATCAACACTTAGTGTTTGACATTGACATTTGAGCAATTATAACTATTATTTTTTTAAAATGAACAATTTATTTGAGACGAAACAACCAGGGCTTTGGCCTGATATATGAGCATTAAATACTTACAACTTGATACGACCAACTAGCTGGCATTTGCCGCCGGTTACGCGTTAAGAAAAACTGGAAAGTTGACTGCAATAAATGTCTTGAAATGGTCTGGTCGCATTGGTAATTGAAAGATGATCACATGTGATATATTTTTTAAATTTTTGCATAGCTTAAAACATGAATATCTTAAAGGTGATATTATCAAAGTCACTTCAATAACTGCTAGTTGAAATAAAACCTAAACTTGTCTGAAGTAAGAAACCGCAAGTGGATATTACATATGAACTATTCTGAGCACAAAACAAACCGAGCCGAAGTTTTCTGTCTCTTTCTTGGAAACTCGGGAAAATTACTGTTGTTTTTTCCCGTCAAATTGGTTTTTGTTCACTGACTGAAAAAATTCAATGTACAAAACTCGAAGTATTACACTCATCTTAGGAGCAAAGATTATCACCCGGAATAAATAAGACCAAACAGTTAGTTAGTTTTGTACATTTAAACTGTTCAGTCAGTGAACAAATACCACTTTGACGAGAAAACAACATCGTTGTTTACTCGAGATTTGAACCTGTGCCGAACCTGCGGGACGAACTGCGTATACGCTCGGCTACGTTCCTTGTATGCAACTATAGTTCAAACTTGTTTTATATGCAACTATAGTTCAAACTTGTGTTATGCATTTTGGGGGCTAAATTAAAGTTGTATTTTCCCGCAAAGCAACCAACTCGCTGCCAAGCTCGGGTGATCTGGTAGTGGTTTGGATTCCGCACACATTGTCCCTGCAATCCGCATAAGTTGCGTCGGATTAACTATTTGCTCAGCAACATCATCATCCCCCAAAGAGGCGAGAGCCGGAGCAAGTTTAACGAGGGGTCTC